ACTTCTCATACGTCATACAAAAGACACGGAGTTTCTCCGCGGACATGACGACAGTTTTTGCATGACAAGTTCATCATGCAAAAAAGAAACACGCTCCAGACAGTGTATGTAGACAGTCTTTTGTATGATGTATTAGCAGTGGGTCCACGACCTGCCGCGGCTGGCAGTTCTACGGCCGGTCAACCATTGAATATATTTTATTCACTGGCTTCTTTCGGGCGTATGCGTAAATTTGGGGAGTGATTATTCTTTGATAGGACATTGAGGCCCGTTTAACGGCTCTGTTCCTAGTTTGTAAGGTAGAATCCTGCAAGACACACCGACGATCCTCGTAGAGAAGTGATTAGAGAATTTGCAACCTTTGCTTTGGCCTTAAGCAACGTCGTATTAAAATGTATTAGAACTTTCTCGGTACCTTACCTATGAGAATCGTTAAATGTTTACTTACAATGAATTCAGCTCAATCACCCTCCCCCCTCCTCCCCTTTTCTAGAAATATAACTTTATCCTATTCCCAGTCGTTTAATACAAAAACAACAATGGCTGTGATTTTGAGATTTAAGGGCCGTCACTATTTCTATTCATCTATTTCCCCCCCCCCCCCCCCAAAAAAAAAAAAAAAAGCAATAAAAAAAGATTCCGTACAAAGAACAGCAACAAGACATTGCACCATCCCGAATAACCCATTCGCCGTCGCGTGCACTTCTTTATTGACGGTGTGGTATGACGTTTTTAAACCAGTGCTTAAAATATTTTTCGAGTGGCGTTCGTCATCTGGGACGCTAAAAAGCACTTGAAAATGGCCGGGTACAATAAAAAAAAAAAAGAAATCACATTTCTAAAAAAAAAATAAAAAATATTACAACAAACAAACACATGAACGCTACGCGGACAGGTCACGCGTGTCGACGAGGACAACTCTGCTCTACTCTCAACGAGAAGTTGAGCAAAAATTAAACTATACAGTCAGTGTTCTACAAATTTCGGTTGAAAACGCGAAGACAATTACGTACAATCAGCAATATATGAAAGAAGACACTGGATTATGAACGTTTGTTTGGTTTATCGCTGCCTGAAAGAAAGTAAACGGACTGTCACGCCTATACGAAGGTGCTCTAACGGTGAACAGGTTGATTAAAATAGAATTCCAACTCCGTCACTACACATTCCTCTCGCAGTGCATGTAACGACGGGTATAATTATTCCATAACGCAATATTCGGTGCGGCTACGGTTGTGCGCTCTATGTGAAGGGCTTACAGTATGTTATTGCACACATGGAAAAAAAATCTTAATTGATTGCCGATGACGACTCGTCTAACAATACTTCGCTAATTATGTTTAAAGAGAGAAGGACAGCACCAGGTCACACCAACTGCACCATTCCAATAACGAGTATTGGAGACACGCGCGTTCACTTTGGTCGAGACATCCTTTACACGACTTCCGAAGTAAGAAATCCTTGGACACATGAACTCGTCTTGTATACGGCATGTCCTTTGCCAGGTTCCGTCCGACCACCTCCCTCTCCTTAAAAATTAACGCGGGCACACGTGGACATCCCGAAATATCCTGAATTGATTGGAGCTCACAGCGCGGACAATGTGGCAAAAGTGTGTATTACGCCAGACGCACTGCTCGTACATCATACGAAGGACACGATGTTCACGGCAGACATAATGCCAGAATCATCTGTGGATACACCCCAAGTATTGTTGAAGTAGATTTGCTCCTATCCTATCGAGACCGGTTATAACGGAGTCAATGGTAATCGGAAATCACTTCGCTATATCCGCTCTTTCGTTATAACCGACTTTGGTTATAACGAAGTGCAAAAAGAAATGGGAAATCGTGATCGCTTCGGTGTAGCCGCTATTTCGTTATAACCGATTTCGGTTAACGAAGTGCAAAAGGGAATGGGGAAATAGTGATCGCTTCGCAATAGCCGCTATTTCGTTATAACCGGTCTCGACAGTATACTTCGAACATGTCTGCAGAGTTTTGTGTGGCCAATGTGACAAGACAGAGAGGAAGAAACGCCTCAGACATTGTCCGCACATTGTCTTTTGTACGATGCATTAGCAGTGTGACATAGGCTTTAGGCACGTATTTTTTATAGACCTTAATGGACTTTGAACGAAAAGTAAGTAATGCCTGAAGTCACAGGCAATCAAAAAGCCACACTAAACAAAACAATAAAATAAAAAACGAGCAGCTGGATAGAAGCGATTGCAAATAATTTTTAGATACAGTCTCACTTTCCAGGAGTACGTAATGCGTTCTTTTCAGAACTGATCATATTTGCGCCACGTTTGAAGCCGTACGTGCTGTTCTCTCCGTACCTTCGATGATTTGAATTAGGGAGCCTTCATGTGCGCTTTGCTAGGATGATGCCACCCTTTGTAATACCACTCGACGAGAAACCAGCAGCCATTTTGTTCCTCGGCGATAATATCTCTGTGACGTCACGGCGCGGTGGTGGCGCGTCGGTCGCACTTCCGGTCTGGGGCTGTGGGCAGAAGTCCCCATGCCAGACCTGTATTCCTGCGTTGTTTTGAAAGGAACCAGACAAAAACCTGCCTTCTCGTCAAATCGCCGCGACTGGGGCCGTACCAAAAGTGTCGAGAAAGGTTTGAAGGTCAGTTTTCACGTGCTGGGTTCGTCTGAGAATCTGGATATGTGCCGTGAAAAGGGAAAAGCAGACGCCGTCGGGCAACGATTGCTTGGGTGGGAAGCACTTTGGGTTGAATTCACGGATACTTGTGGTCATCAGATTTATTTGTGGTGTTCCTACATGAACGCCAGAAAACTGTCAAGTTGTGCGGATCACCTGTGGACTACGTTCAGTGCGTCTTCAAGTTCAAACGGCCGCCTGATCGTTCGAATTGTCGTCTGCTCTTTCAAACGTTTCTGCTTGTCGTCTGCTCTCTTAGACGACGCCGGTCCGTAGACCAAATGTTGGCCCGGTACTTGCGATAAGAAGTGAGTGCAGGCCTCAAAAGACTTAAATTGTAATGGTTGGTAAGCAGGCTCGACGTAAACAGTAGATACGAGGAGATGTTGATCATTGTTACCAGTGACCAACACCGACTTGTTATGCCTAATTCAGTTGGTGCGATTCTGCTTGCGATTTTCAGTATCGTCGTCGACCATCTCAGCTACGGTTCACGCTTTTGCAGCCCGAGCGGCGTCGCGACTGAAAATTTTGAGCGAAATCTCATCACGCGAATCAGGCTTTAGCGTACAATCTGCGGCGTCCACGCGGAATGAATCGCCACATGTCGCATTATTCACGCGAAGTTTTTCGGTGTAACGAGCCTCGGTAATTTCGCTGACGCCGCTCAAGCTTGTCAGACATCGCCAGGAAGGCGTAGAACCAACAATTCGAACGCGAAAAAGGGCAGGGGGACTCACACCGACGCCGACAACATCGCATTTCAATGGTTTGTTTATGGGCGACGGCGAGCTTCTTGCCCACACCCCCAACGCGCATGCGCGGCGCCGGTGGCGTCCGCTAGGGGCGCTCCGGGCGCTCCGGTTTGTTTGTAAACATGAGTTGGTGTATAACCCTCCCGGAAACAAGCACCTTATCTCAGAAGTTCGGAGCAGCGTTGTGGAACCCACGGAGGGAGGATTAGCATTTTCCCCCTCGGATGGGATTACCGATGGACACAAAGGCCACTTTCCGGCGCACGGGGAAACAATGAGAGAAACAAAATGGCGGTGGAAGAGGGTGTGGGAAAGGGAAACAGGCAGTTGGCATCACTCTATGCGAAGCGCACATGAAGGCACTCTAATTTGAATAATCTGATGTAGTTTTTGCTTTGCTGATGGTCACGACAATACGTTCGCGAATGTATAAATGAGTCAGCATAGCAGGTAACCTTTTTGACGTCGCGCGAGGGTGGAGCTGACTGTTTCACGGAATACCTGCCCAAACTTCGACCTGTAGCAAAAAAAAAAGTTTTAATTTAGGCGTACGGTCCACAGTTCGTGTAAGCAGGCTTGCTTGCCTGTACATAAGAGGTAATAACTCAACTGGAGTAGATTTTCAAGAGACTGCAGGGCTTCAGTTGGTTCGTGCTAACACAAAGTCTGATCAAAAAATAAAGTACGTCTTTTTGGTTCTGAATATTTCGCCCGATTTTGTAGTGAAAGTATATTTTTAAGTTTAACATACGCCTAATGTACGCATACATTTCAGCTAGCCAATTACTTCTCGAAAATCTTTCCACTTAATAAAAGGAAGTGATAGTGGCGCTGAAAAATGTTCGGTGTGCGGTTTCAACCCGCAAAGTTGTGAATATTTCTGCAGTGCATTACGAGAGGTGAAGATTCAACACGACGCTCAAAGACGTATTCAAAAACGACTCGGTCGTGTGGACTGAAGAGTATAGAATCGCTAACACTAGTCACACCGTAATGTTCTTAAAGTTTCGGACAAATGGCGATGCAGCACGTCTTGCTGACCAGATAAATCAGTTGCTACTGCAGCCGAGCTGACCTCCCAACAGGAGTAACGTTTCTTTGATCTTAGTCTTGTCACCAAGTGCTCGAAGAATCTGGTTGACTCGTTTACTCGCGGAACTGAGATCACCATTCACGGGACCTAATCCCATCCTTGTCGCCAAGTGTTTCTGGTTGAGACTGTCCATCTCCAGAGACGTACGTAGCGATCGATAGATCCTTCTTCTACGGCAACGGTCCTTGGTTCTTGCTGTCTGATACGAGACTTAAGGTCATCTTGTCATAAAGCGCCACCAGCTTCACGTCTTCTTCAATACTTTCAGCCATCTTTTCCGATGACTCCCACTTTAGTCAGTTCCATCATGGTCTGCAGAAGTTCCAGGTTTTGATTGCGCGTCTGCAGAGCGAACGCGAGCGTCCGAACCTTGAAATCCTTCTTCGATGGCAGTGGGTCTTGGTTCCTGCTGCCTGATGGCAGGGTTGAAGCCACCTTGCCGTACAACGCCACGAACTTCATCAACTGTTCATCGTTACTTTAACCGCCTGTACCGATGACACCCACTCTACCCAGTCCAATCGTGGTCCTTAGAAGTTCCAGGATTGACTTGTGCGTCTACAGAGCGGACGACTTCTCGCTCCATCTGGTTTATGAATCCTTGTGACGTAGAGTACTTGACGCAGGAGGGTTCAGCCCACTTTACTGTGTACTTAAAATCTCGATGGCAAGGGACCATACGGTCGATAGAGTCGGCGCGCGGAGGTCTGAGAAGGCTTCAACCGCGACGGCAGGTGACAGTGGCTTCGCAGTGGAGGCTCCGTCCATTCTGAAAGTAGACGACAGTTTGGTTACCCGGAAAGCAACTTTGAAGGCTGCAGGACAGGCGACGAGGAGATTTAACAATGCTCTCTAATATACGACATTTAATATTTTTACATATTAATGCATCGCAAGTCTAACAACGCAGTTAAATTCTCAACCTCTTTTTATTTAAAGGGACACCGACAGGGTATTTATGGCCGCCGAGGTTTTCATTTGAACATGATCGAACTACCCAGAACATATATTTGCGGTTCGAAATTCGTTTTCTTGCCACCTGAAAACAGCCGGTCGAGGACGGATCTGGTACCGTCTCGCTCACTCGCTTTTTTATGGTCACGTGGCTTTCAAACTATATATACCAAGTATAATCCAAGTCGTGGGCACCATAAAGGCCCACACTCAATAATAATAATAATAATAAAAAAAAAGATATGAACTCAATTTTTGTAGTCTTCCAAAACTTGCAAATACGTTGCTCAAAAAAAAAAAAATAAGAAAATGTTGCACAGATTGCAGGAAGTACATGTGCACGTCATTATCAGTATGGCAACGGACCGCGGGGTGGCGGTGCACGACGGACCAACGTTGCGACGGACGTGAGACCGCTACTTCTGAACTGTCGTTCGTGGTACCGGCCAATCGAACTTCGATCGCAAAACATCGAGAGGAAAGAATGTGAGCGCGAAACATCACACGACAAGGAGTGCAAGTAACTTAGTCGTTGTCGTCGTCTGCTTCACATGCCAAAAAAAAAAAAAAAAAAAAAATAGTGCGAACGGGTGTAGTACGCAACTTCCGATTTGAACTTTTGCGCTCGTGTTTCAGTTTCGGTTTCGAGCAGTTGAGTTTTTTGGTTTTATTAAAATATACGTAACAGTAGCAAAATATTGATTGGGTAGACTCCTGACACCAGATTAAATCGCCTGACAAAAATTAAAATACATTTTTGTTTTAAGTATTAGTGTTACTTAAAAAAAGAGGTTTGCAAACATAATAAAATGAGATTAATTACTGCTAAAAACGAGAAACTACTCAAGCCGTTTATTTTCAAGGCAGTGACGGGAAAAGTGCTCTGGAGCATCGCTGGGAAAAATTACGTTATCTGCTGAATGAACGAATGAATGAATGGGCAAATACGGCTGAACCTTTTTAATCAGGCGGCGGCCAGCGCCATCTAACCAGTTATCCTAGTTTTAACTGGCAACACTCAATATTAGTGCTGCGTTACGGAAACATTGAATCGTTCGGAGTTTGGAGACGAAGCGCAATCTAGAACAGTCTAGTGTTGGCTGTACTAAGAAACAGTCGACGTCATAAATGTGCCAAGACGAATTTGGAGCGGATCTGACAGACGTCATCTAGACAAAACAAAACTACCGGCCTTTTTATCAAAGTGATGCTGATCCGACCCACCCGTTCAACATAGAGGGGTGATTTGTTTATTTTTAACGTACGAATACTCAAGTGCGGATTCTTATTTTGAGCCTGCTGTTGGTTCTATACAGGTTTTTTAATTCTTTTAGTATGTCAGCCAAAGAGACCAAAGCCACGTGGTCCCCGTATGAGCCCAATACATACATCCCCCAATTTAGAGAAGGGCTTGAGGTTGCTTTTCAGAAAAAAATGTGGATATTACATGTACTATTTGTGTGACAAGAAAAAAACAATGGCGTACCCATAAACTCGCCATCTGCTGCGAATCCATTGTCTTGCAAGTTGTCCGCGTGGTGGCGCGCGAACCCCTGCTCCCTGCATCAAACCACAACCGGGAGGCAAAAACGTTTAAACACAAGCCCTAACAAAGCCTTCCCGAGCAAGCGTTTAGAGCGGCGCCAAAATTCGATAATCGTAAACAATAAGAGCAAGCCTGTAGAGCGTGCGAGCTTTGTTCGCTGTTCCTTTGATGCATCCTGCCTGGCCGTTTGGAGCCATACTACGGCACGCTAAGAATTAATTTGATGTAACAACGCGAGTCAATTAATTAAAATTAACTCGACAGCTCGTAATAATTCACTGTCGAAAGGCTGTTTGACGCGGTGTTTTCGCTGAGCACCGGTTTATTTTGATCCCTTTTGAAACGCATGCGCTCTCCAGGGTTGACTCTGTTGAAGGCTTATTTATAAGACATCTTGTAGCCTGCGAAAAGAAGGAAACCGAACATGGCCAGATCAAATCACACGCAACACCCACACACGCGCACGCACATGTGGGCACGCACAAAGCAAAAGCAATACAGGGAGCACAAAGGAGAAATTCAGAGCGGCAGAAACCAGACCTGACATCTATCAATACCATCTCTGTTTCATTTACTTACGTCTTTCGCTTTACTAAGACTATAGCCGGTGACAGGTTAAGAACGAAGTGGAAGCTCCTCCCACCCCTTTCCACTTCAGCGGAACGAACGGTGGAGAGGAAGTCGCCTCCTCTCCAGCGTTCGCTCTACTAAAGTGGAAAGAGGTGGGAGGAGCTTCCACTTCGTTCTTGACCTGTCACCGACATAGGCATACCTAGAGACAGGGCGACGCAGTAAATACCTTCTTGTACACAGTTTCTTTTTAAGTCAGAGCGCTGCCAATGATGCGAGCTCGTTAGGCCAATCATGCTCCTCAAGAAGCCTTATATCGCGGCATTTTTTATCTTATTGAGTAAAGCATAAGTGCAAATGATACACAAAATGTTTGTCTCCCCCCCCCCCCACCCCCCCCCCCCAACCCCTCAAAAAAAGAAAAAAAAACTACAATGTTTTTTTTTTATTATAATAAAACATATGCATCGCCGATCGCTCATTTTCCGTTCAAAATGTAGGTCTAGAGCAGTGGTTTCAAACTCATTTGAGTATGGGGGCCAGATACACCCACATCAAAAAGGTCGAGGGCCAACGTAAGAGGGGGGAAAGGGAGTCTAAAGATTTCTAAGACTGCGTAGTCTACAGAGCCATATCTAACACAGACGACTTGCATAACCTACAGGCTGATCTAGACCGAATTAGCGATTGGTGTTGTGGGGATCCCTCCGGCCGCCCCACCCTGGAGTCCCGTCTTCCCCACATTTCCCTCGCTCCTTCGCCCGTTCCTCCCGCGCCCTGCCAGGGCCGAACATTGCTGCACACCCGGATCCCTGGACGTGGGAGCGTCACCGTGCGGCGCGTAATCCCTACTCGGGGATCGTGCGGGGCCCGTGGCAGGGGCGTGGGTGCACACGTGGACGGGCCGTAATGGGCACGTGATTGGTGGGGTCGAGGACACAAAAAGGGAAGCGGGACAAGGGGGGTCCTCTTCTGAACCTGCGGACCGGACAGTGCGTGACGACGACGACGAGGGCGACGACGAGAGGACGAGGAGAGGACGCTGACCACCAACGAGAGAGTTTAATTAAGCGATTCTGAAAACGCACACAGTGTGAGCGACTTCTTGGGGAGCGAGCGAGGCACGTCCCGATCGGGCGTCGATTAGGTAGCGATCCACAGTGTTCAAAGTGGCAGACGCTACTAAATACATCAACATCCAAATGCCTCTCTTTCTATCGAACTCGTCAACATTTTCACTCTTCCCACTCTTTTGGTAGTCTTAATATTGATTCCGTGTCGACTTACAAGTATCTTGGCGTTCACTTCACTCATGGCCTTTCTTGGAAAACCCATATTAAAGGGATACTACAACGAAATTTCGGCGCTAATTTTTTGGTCTATATGTGTTCAAAAGAGCAGTATCACATGGAACATTCCAATATCTTGTTAAAAAAGTCCCGGAAAGGAATTTTAAAACGAATTAAACGATTAGCAAAGAGCACCTGGTGGATGTCGCTAACGACTCGTTTGTAATGCTCGTCTAGGAACCTTGACAGCTAGTGACGGAGGTTGTCTCGTCTCCGGCCACGACGAGAGAAGGGGGGAAGGAGGAACTCCCCTCTTCCCGAGAATCCCTTTTGTGTGTCGCAGAAGTCGCTATTGTCCCCCTAGATGATTATAGAAGATTAACCCGTCACTCAAAATTCGTACAAAAGCAGCCGCTTCGGTGGCTGGAACGACTAGGCCATCCTCTCGACGTCAGCCTCGCCGTAGCTTTGCTCGTCTTGAGACGACCTACGTCACGATTGCGTTGGATGTCACGTGCTCTAAGCTGGGCCTTCTCCGAGCGCTTGCCAGAGTGGGCCGTTTATAACGAAAAATACAGCCATCAGGATCAAAATACAAACGTGCGATTGTCATTTACGGATATTGTGGATCATATTCAACCTATTTTTGAACACGACGGGAATTTTTCAAATTTCGTTGAAGTATCCCTTTAATACTATCGATTCCGACTCAAACCGCACTCTTGATCTCTTGCGCCGTAATCTTCGTCTCGCGTCCTCATCTGTGAAGCGACTTGCATATGTCACATTGGTACGTCCGAAACTAGAATATGCATCGTCAGTCTGGGACCCCCATCTTAAATACCTTGTGTCCAATAGGGAGCCTTCATGTGCGCTTTGCTAGGGTGGTGCCACCCTTTGTAATACCACTCGCCGACAAACCAGGAGCCATTTTGGTCTCAGCGATAATCCGTGGGGCTTAAAACCCTCCCGGAAACAAGCACCTTATCTCACAAGTTCGGAGCAGCGTTGTGGAACCCATGGAGGGAGGTTTAGCATTTCCCCCCTCGGATGGGGGGACCGATGGACACAAAGGCCACTTTCCGGCGCACGGCAAACGCACGGGGAAACAATGAGGAACAAAATGGCGGTGGGGGAAAGGGAAACAGGCAGTTGGCATCGCTCTATGCGAAGCGCACATGAAGGCACCCTAGTATCCAATTTAGAATCAGTTCAAACTCGTGCCACTTGTCTCAATACTCTAGGTTTGTTAGTGTTACTGAACTTAAACACAATTTATCATAAACCCCTTTGTGTTCACGTAGGCGCATCGCTAAATTATGTCTTTTCAACAGGTGTTACTTTGACGATTATCTACACAATTCATTCATCTTGCCACCTCATCGCATATATCCTCGCATTGACCAACATGCAAAAGTTGGCTTTTTCTTTTCACTCGAAATACAACATTCTTTAAATCTTTTTTCCCGGCGACCTCAGTGGACTGGAACGGCCTGCCCGAAGCCATCGTTTCTGCTCAAGACATTGATTCGTTCCGTCAAATGTTAACCTCGCTATTTTTAACCCACTCCCTTATGTAATAAATACCCTGACTCAGGGCTCTTAAGGTATTTAAATAAATAAATAAATAAGATACCGCTTGCGCTATGCTTTTTGTGAACTCAGAGTGACATTTTTAGAGACATGAACCGGGACTCGTAGCTCGTTGCCTGCCGGCCGCGTTCCAGTGAGTCGCGAGCCGCATTTGGCCCGCGGGCCACGTGTTTGAGACCCCTGGTCTAGAGGTTCGAACCAGATACCAAAGTTTCAACGCTAGCCATTATCTTATGCAAAGGTTCTAAATGGTTTTCTCAAATTTTCAATGGGAAAATGGGGCCCATGCATTTTCTCTTGTTTTCAATAACTGGTGCCATAGAGCCCCACGTATTCGAAAGCTTTATCGGCCGCTAATTTCCCACTAAAAATAAAATTGGAAAAAAAAATTATTATAACCCTTTAGCAATGTAATGTTTAGTGCAGAAACTTTGGCGTCTGGTTCGGACCGCGGGTGCTACATTTGGGTGGGGACTAAACGTTCGGCGATGCGTAATTTATTTTTGGGGTGAAGGAAAAAAAATATTTTCGGGGGACACTTTTTATACCACGCTCTTACTTTTGGCCGGTTCTCTAAGTCCTCACGTGTTCAGTTTTGCTGCTCAGCGTGCGAGCTAGTGATGAACCGAATCTATTAATTAATTTTTATTATATTATGAAAAAAAAAAAGTGAATACGAGCGCACAAAAAAAAAAAAAAACAAAAAAAAAAACGGTATGCAAATAATTTGTGCTTTGCTATAAATCCAAGTGGGCGGTAATGAAGCTCCTATTGAATATCTTTCTCGCGAAAGCTGCATTTTGACGGTAATGAGATCTTTCAGGTTCGAGACGCGCATCGCCCAAAACCAATTGCCGTGGACGAAGATTGAGCACACACACTAAGAAGTTTCGGGAGCTGTCTTACTCGGTCGTCGTGAAGCCCTGCTCATAGCTCCCGCTGTCGATCGAGCCGTCCGGGTACTCGTCTCCGTAAAGCTGCAAATGAAAAAGAAGACACGAGCAATGAAATACTTTTACCGGATGAACACCCGAGACATGAATTATCGTTACACGGCGGGACCAAGATGGGACCGCGACATAGCCGCCTGCTGCGATTGGTCAACGGAGTACGGAGCTGGCCAATCACAGCCGACATATACGATACGATTAAGCCAATCAGGCAGCTCCAAAAGTGCATCGTCACGGCGCACGTCGTCTTTGTGGGCTTGAAATCACCCATCTAAACAAAAGCACGCACACACAGAAAAAAATAAAGGAAACGGAAGATTGCATTGACTGCACGTGATTGGTTTGCTCGGCGATGGCTACCGCACAAAGGCCATGAGCACCATGACTGCGCACCTTTGGCGGTATAGACGTTTTTTATTTCCTGTCGTTCTCAGTCACCTGGGTTCCGTATCTGATATGCGGGACGAAAAAAGAAAACATTTTCACCTGGAATATGGGAGAAAATATAGGTGAGGAAATACAAGAATATGGTGACAATCACACGTTTTTCGTAAACCCCTTCAAGCGGCGTGGAGAGATCAAAACGATGTTTTACCGCGTGCCTGAAGGGACAACATTCTGGATACCTGCGCCCTTGTGGAAAAGGTGCGTAAGATTGAAACTCCTTGGTTAAACCGAGTAGAAACCTTTGCAAAAATCGTCTTCTGCGCGCTGCCATCTTTGTCTGCTGGGCTGTGGAACGCCTTGTGAGATCCGCTGTTGCTCTGTTGTGAGGTATATCAGACGCTGCAGCGCATGCGTCGACAGCTCAGTGACTCGGCATCTTTTCATCGACGGAACGGTCTATTTATACTTCTCCAGCGCTTATCACCCAGGCAAAAAAATCCCGAGTCACACTGGGCCGTGGACGCGTGCGCGGCGTCTCATATTTCGTGGAAGAAAGCTACTGCGTACGCGCGCAGTACGGCTCCAACAGCCCACGATAGACAAATGATGGCAGGACGCAGAAGGCGATTATTGGAAAAAGTCCGTAGCCAAAGTGCATTTTCTTTTTTTAAATTTTGTTCTTCGTCGCACAACCCCAATGTCTGTCTCAAAAAGGGGGGTCTTTCTCCGACACCGCCGCACGTTGCGGCCAAAACTATGTTGTCTGGGACGCGTCTCCGACTGGTGCGTTTGTCGCGTCCACAAATGTGGTTCCCCGGTTTCCGGCTAATGACGTCGTATAAGCGTCATGCTGTTGCCTGCCGCGATCCTGGCGGTGGTGGTACGGCAGCGCCGAAATGGATACGGCAGGCGCCTGTTCTGCTGCTGCACAGTTCATGGAAGCTTCGGCAACCATCGAGTTTGAGACGCCGCGACGACAGCGCCACCCACGTTCGCTCGTATACTATTTAGTTGCCGGAGCTTTTACGACCAACAAGGATCGCGACATCCAACAGCATATCGCCACGGCTACCGTGACGTCATTTTTTGCTACTTCTAGACCACCTTCGATGCATGGGTGGTGTGTAGGACACTACATTTCCCACCAGTCGAAGACGTCTTCCAGACACCGCGGTGAAAACCTTATTTGCGACTGTGTCTCAGCGAGGAGATAGGTTCGGTTCCGAGACCATTCGGGACCCCACACAATTGCAGACGGACAGAATTCTAAACGGAACACGTGGGTAGTTAAACGTAAAATAACTTGTAGAAAAACCTCCTAGGAGTCTCGGAGTATCCACCACCATCTAGACTTTAAGGCCTCTGCGCTCTTCCTCTCACGTCATGCTATGCGCCCGGCCGCCAGGGGGTGTTGGGCCATCCCCTCGGATAGAGTTCCGGTATACAGCTACCTACAGTAGCAGAGTTGCGGGTTCATCCTCGGCGGGTGACTGTAGCGCCGGTTTTCCTGCACGGCGCTGGATGCTTTGCTCCTCATGTGATCGATCTCGGTGAATAGCGGCGTGACGGCTCGGGGAAAACAAACGCGCAACTCTGCTCCCCCTTCGAAGGAGCATATTTAGGATCTATAACTTCGGAGAACCGGCCTTACGACAACAGGCTAGGCAGTCGCCTGCTGTTTGAAGCAGGAGCCGGGGCCGTCGGGACGCAGCCTTACAAGTGGCGCTTCGACGACATTGTGACCATGAGTGTGAGGAGGGCGCGCGGAGTCCACGAAAAAAAAAACGTGCCACACATTGATCGAGATTGCGCGCGAATCTCCAGCCCACTCGGCCACAGGCACGGTGGCCACAGGACAATGAACCACATCCTCGGAGCACCCTGGGGCTCACTCAGGCTAAGAACAAGGCAGCAACTCGACGACACAGGGCGAGGAGAACATGCAGACAGGCTTGCTGCAAAGTCTCCAGCGGTCTGCACGAGCCAGTAGCGACCCAAAAAGGCTCGAGGACTGGCGGAAATAGGTTCACATCAGGGGCCATTAAGACCCACCTGTTTCCAGGTTTGGGCACGAACTCTGTTCGAGCCCGACCGTTCCACAGGAAAAGAGCCGCAACAACATCATCATTTCCTATATTTTACAATCATTCGTCAATGGCAGCAGAGGTGTAGTGCGTTTCGTCGAATTCGTTTTTCCGTTTGAAGAGATTTCTGACCGAACCAGGGATGATCTGTACGTGACAGTGTTTGCTATGATATGTACTGTGATGTGGAAGAAACGTGGAAGAAACGATGGCCTCCGGATACCCGCACGGAAAGGAATTTGAGATCAGGACAAGTAGGAAACGGTTTCGATTAGGCCTCGTTTCGGTAGACTTTCAGAGGGTAATTGTTTTCTTGACAACTACGCTCCCGTTTAGTTATATGCAATTTTGTGTGTGACGGTATTTCTACGTTCCTTTTTTGATTGACCAAAGCTTAACTGGTTTAGGTCTAGTGCTGGAATCCTGCTGAGCACGCGAGCTCACTAAAGGGAAGTCGGTGACGAACCCCCGCGAAACACGCAACTCTCTGGACGTTCTAAGCTCCGTGTACATATGAAATACCCTCTGACGACTGCGTATTCGAGAAATTTGACGACGTATATGACGACGGGCGAGCAGCGTGGGCGAACAGGCTAGAACTTGCCCGGCGGCTCGGCTCGGCTTCGTCGAGCCGAGTCGAGATGACCAGAGAAGCCGGACATATCGGTTCACGTCACGCGATGTGGAGAGGAGGCATTGGAGAGGCCTTAGTCAGTCTAGGTGGGGTTGGACTTACAGACCGTGTTTGGCTAGGAAACGTAGCTTATTCATATTTGTAATTACAATAAAAAACGTTAAAAAACCCCCGAAGGACGAATACGGATGGAATCGCTTTACGTTCAAAGGAAGTGGTTGTGCGTAATTGACCTTTTTTTATTATTCTATCTGATTTCAGGAACCACCTCGACAACGCTCTCGCACTAATTAGATTTAGAGTCTTCAGATCTCGAAGAAGTTGAAACGTGCTTTGAAATTTCCGAAAGTGAATTTTGTGCCGGGACACATTTGGCAGTAAATTGCGAAACCAGTCGTAGCGAGCCTGAGAGCTGAGCATTAAAATACACGAGGCATACCAAACGGACGAAAAAGACGTCAATCGCATTCCAAAATGCTAAAGGCACACCGACTGACGAGATTTGTCGAATATAAGGGGACTAGTGGTACCTTCTAAGAGCTCGTCCTGACAGGTAAGAAAATAAAAATTAAGAGAATGAAATTTATTTGAAGCAGGCTAGCGAAGGTACTGCGCGTCTTGCAGTGTGGACATCTGCGGTTGTTACCATCGAGGGAAACAAAGAGAAAAAGTAGCCGGAAAGTGAATGAGGGGACTGCGTATAGAGTGGAATACCTCAGTCAAAAAATGTAATTCACTTCGATTCATTTAATTTAGTTGCCATTCTCTAAAAACAATATTACGTCGTTCACAACTGCGAATTAGCGTTTTCGCTCATGAGAGACTTAACTACGTTCAGTGAATCGTCAATAAGTGTCAGTAACTTCAGGGATCAGGTTGATATGCGCAGCTCGAGGCGTGGTTCCACCGAGAAGACAAAAAAAAAAAAAAAACCTACTTTTTCCCGATGACAAGACGAATTCCATATTTTTTAGTCAATTCCAGCAATGTTTTGTTTACAACCATGTCCTATTGTGGCCAGTTAGTTTTTGCACAAGTGAGAAAAACACAGACACACACATAAATACACACATACACGTGCACACACACAGACACACACATCACACAAAATTTGGGTTGGGCAATTTTGCGAGGAGTGTTTGTTTTAACGTGAAGTGCCCCTTTCGTCAGTGCAACCTAACCAAAGACAAAAAAGTGAAAGCCGTTTACAAATCCCTGTAACGCCGAATTGGAGCGCAGCTCTTGAGGAGGAGGAGGGAAGGGTACTGAGGGGAGGGTAGACCCCTCCTCCTCCTCCTCCTCCTCCCCGCATTCTTTAATATGCTCCGGGGGGGGGGGTCACGTGACCTCGGGGGGGGGGGTGTCACGTGACTTCGGGGAGGGGGGTCACGTCACCTCGGGGAGGCGTGACCTGGGGGTCACGTGACCTTGGGTGTCACATGGGGGCCACCTCAAGGTCACGTGACCCCCACGTGACCTCAGGGGGTCACGTGACCTGGGGGGTCACGGGACCTCGGGGGGTCACGTGACCTGGGGGGTCACGTGGGGGTCACCTTGGGGTCACGTGACCTTGAGATGACCTTGGGAGGGGTCACGTGACCTCGGGGGTCACGTGACCTTGGGGAGGAGACCACGTGACCTCGGGGGTCACGTGACCTCAGAGGGGTCATGTGACCTTGGGGGTCACGTGACCTTCAAAGGGTCACGTGGGGTCACGTGACCTTGAAATGACCTTGGTAGGGGTCACGTGACCTTGGGGGTCACGTGATCCCAAGATGACCCCACGTGACCCCCAAGGTCACGTGACCTTGGGGGTCACGTGACCTTCAGGGGGTCACGTGGGGTCACGTGACCTTGAGATGACCTTGGGAGGGGCACGTGACCTTGGGGGTCACGTGACCTTGGGATGACCTTGGTTACGCCGACGGCGCCGTCGACGCCGCTCAAGCCGGGAACGGGCCCCTAAGAGCTGCGCTCTAAAAAAAAAAAGCAGTAAACTAAACCTAAGACAAAAAAAGCGAGACGTAAAAGCGTTACGGTTAAATCCGCCGAATTTGACCGGCGAGACATCACCCGCCAAGTTTAGCAGACTTCGTTGGCTCGGTGCACCTCGAACTTTGATCGCCATTGCAATAATGAGACTCCCTCGCGGGTGGCAGCCCACTCCCACTGGCTGGCGTGAGAAATGACGTGACCGCAGCGACAACCAATGACGTTCTCGCCGGAAGTCCCGGCATGAGTCTGCGTAAGTAAACTACTGCGTCGGGATTTACACACAGCTCATCAAAGCCTGGAAACAACGTCCTCGGCTTCCATGTCATCAAAATCGGAAGGCGCCAACTCAGCAATGTGGAGCGCAAGCTCGTCTCCTTCGTTTGTAGGGCTTGTGGTGACGTCAGAACGCCGAGCTTTGATTGGCTCTGATTAAAGGGTAGGGGGTAGACCTCAGGGCAGCTTACTTCGAGGTCTACCCACTATCCTTTAATCAGAGCCAATCATAGCTGATGTCGCCACCACACCTGCAAAAGAAGCAGACAAACTTGCGCTCCACAGAAGTTTTTGCCGAATTACCCACGCATCAAAAAGAATGCCGCGAACGGCTGCGCGTGCTGGCGTTTTCAGCTCTAACTTTGCGAAAGAAAAAAAATCTAAAACAAATGGCACTACGCACACGAGTTTCACGGACACTTTATTTTGGTTAGCTACTTCGAATCTCTCCTACTATAAGGAAGGCGAGCACTTGCAGCGCGTGTACCTACGTTCCCAAGCATTCTCTTTGATGCTTGTATAATTTAGCGAAAGGTCTATTGGGCCCTACGCTGAGCGCCCTTCGACGCATTGACTGGACACGCGAACCGTGACGCAGCGCTCATGTCTAATCTATATCTGCACTCCATCTCGCTGCAATGACGTCATAATGCTAGTGCGCGGGCTTTGATTCTTCTCGGGTGGTGTTGCATTTGCTCACTCAGAAAGCTATCCTTTTAAAGTCATGGGCACACCGCTCACACACCCTACACACGATACACGTTGTTCGTCGCAGACGTTGTGACATGGTGTTCGCTGCAGGCAGGATGGCCTGCGGACATGCCTGAAGTATGTTCATGTTTGTTTCATACTGATGTAATCTTCGAACATGTCTGCTGACATATAGGACCGTAATACAAGTAACACGACTGTCTCTAGACTGCCTTTTGTTTGATGTACTAGTACTGCCACCGCGGCTTGAGACGATTTTGCAGGCACGGCCGAGGTGCCGCTGCGTTCGTGAGATTTTAAGTGTTCCTCGCTTTCTGTCGAGCAGCGCAGCGTCCGCTTACAAACTCGTCGGCAGCCACGCAGTCGGCCGAGATGAACTCGAGGGCGCCGTGGTGCAGCGAGCCCACGGCCGTCCTGCCGAGCGCCAGGGCAGCGGCGGCCCTCAGGGCCCCTTTCCTGCAGGGTCCCGCGAGCCGCAGCGGAACCAGGCGACCGGAGCCCGGAAGCACGTAGGCCCTGGTGGCGTTCCGGGAGGACGTGGGAGCCGCCATGCCCTCGGAGAGCACCAGTCCGGGCTGCAGGGGATGCCGCGTCGCCGGGGGAGACGACGGCGACGACGGTGAGGACGTGTCCCGGTGCAGGCCCTGGGAAGACGACGGCGCGTCGACTCCGTTACGGAACGCTGGGCCCATGCTCGAACGCTCGTTTCTGGCGAAACCGAAACGTATTATATATGGAGCGTCCACGATGGACGTTGACGCTGCAAAACGAGCCGGAAAAAACCGCCAACTTCCTATCGAAAGCTAAAACTTTTACCGAACATGTATTTAAAAGGTGCATTTTACTTCGGAAAATTTCGAGGCGTAGTCCCCTTCCTGTGCTACGTGACACCGACAGATCAGCTGGGAAGAACGGCGACCGAGTTGGCGATGGTTGTAACTCGTAGCGCCATATTCCGAAAAACGCAGCGAGCAGACGACGTGCTTTGTCGCCTGCTCGCTGTGCTTGTCGGAAGAGGAAGTTGTCGCTCGCAACAAAAATCATTTTTACGACTTCGTGTTTGGAACCCTAAAGCCGGTCACGCCGCCCACACATCGTACAAAAAACACGGAGTTTCTCCGCAGACATGATGACAGCATTATCCGCGGACACGTCTCAAGCATGTTCAAAGCATGTTTGCTTCATACATGCTTCGAAAATGTTCGCAGACAGTTTTTTCTTGTATGCCCAATGTGCAAGGACCGTCGTTCAAGTTCAAGGAAAAAAAAAACAATCTCAGACTGTCTTTTCTATACCACGGTCTTTGTGGCCGTGGCTTTAGCGCCCAGTGAATCGAGGGGTGCTGGAGTCAGAGGTCGGCATTCTAGGTCGCCCTCACTCACCCTCACCTTCACAGCCACACACACCTAAGCCCCTCCCTCACCCTCAGATCTACACCAGACTTGTACACGTTACTGAAAAAAAGTAACTGATTACAATTACAATTACTACAGTCAAAAAAGTAACCGATTACCGTTACTGATTACTGCCTCCCAGAAGTAATTGAACAATTACTGCAAAGTAATTGATTACTTTTCAAGTTACTTTCACGTTACTTCTTATTGCGATGACAGAAATACACAAATACACAGTAAAATATTGCGTACACAATTTTGTTTGGTTATTGTTCCCTTTTTTGTTTTCAGACCCGGAGCTTGTCGTGTAGCTGACGCGTCGACCTAAGGAACAAAGCCCACTAAAAAGTCAATAGCGAGTTCCCGCTTCCCGTCGACTTTATCAGCAATCTGCAACGAGATCCGGAACTCCCCAGCCAAGGCTAGTGGCGCGCTTGTAGAAGAGCGTGGCGTAATAGAAAAAAGGAGTTGCCGACTAATCCTAGTTTTATTTTTTTTAGATGTTAAAAAAATGTCAATCATTTTTGCTCCATGGCTGAGTGACTATGCTGATTTTTGTGAGAAAAAAGAATTGTGGGATGAAAAATGTAATTGGTAATTGTGTAATTGATTTTGTAATTGATTACAGAAAAAAAGTAATTGAATTACTCCGAGCGTTACAGCTTGACAAATGTAATTGAAGCGTTACAAAATTACACTTAACTGTAATTGATTACAAGTAATCAATTACTTGTAACGCGTTACGTACAAGTCTGATCTACACTCACCTTCAGCCCCTCTCTCAGCGTGATTATCATAATCACGCTCACCCTCAGCCCTTCACTCACCCTCACTGAACCTCACGCACTCATGGCCCTCACGCCCCTCACACTCACCGTCTTCATGGCCCTCACGCCCTCACGGCCCTCACGTACTCATACCCCTCACGTACGCATGGCCCTCACGCCACTCACACACTCACCACCCTCACGCACTCACCGCCCTCGCGCACTCACCGCCCTCACGCACTCATGGCCCTCACACCCCTCATGCACTCATACACCTCACACCCCGGTGAGTGAGTATACTCACTCACCGCCCTCACGCAGTCATAGCCCTCACGCCCCTATGGACCTCACGCACTCACCGCCCTCACGGCCCTCACACCCCTCACGCACTCATGGCCCTCACGCACTCATGGCCCTCACGCCACTCAGGCCCGCTTCAGACGAGGCAATTTCGCCCAGAAACTTGACGTCGCAACACCAGCAACACGGGCTGCCTGCGTTCATACGCAGCAACAAATTGCTGCAATTCGCCATCATTATTATGAAATTTTATTTTTCTTGCACTATTTAGACACACAATGACGCGCTATAGACGTGTCTTGATGCATTTAAATCTCGTTGAGAATACTAATGCATCTTTCTGAAACAGTTTATTTCCAAAAACGATCAATTTCAAACCAGAACCATGTCATCATCACCGGCCCGAAGTATCACGCGAAAATATCGCGTCCCTGATTGGATACAGCCGCTTCAAACGTATTCGAATCGCTCCGAGTTGCTCGTCTGCTTCGAGCCGGACCCGATCTCAGCAATTCGTGTCGATCTAGGGAAAGCTAGGGAACAACTCGCCAGCAACACCGAAATTGCCGAGAAAGTTGCTCCGTCTGAAGGTGGCCTCACGCACTCACCGCCCTTACGCCCCTCACGGACTCATGGCCCTCACACCCCTCATGCACTCATGGCACTCACACCCCTCACCGCCCTCACGCACTCATACGCCCCACGCCCCTCACGCACTCATGGCCCTCACACCCCTCACACACCCACCGCCCTCACGCATTCCTACGCCTCACGCCCCTCATGCACTCATGGCCCTCACGCTACTCATGCACTCATAGTCCTCACTCCCCTCACGCACTCATGGCCCTCACGCCCCTCACGCACTCACCGCCCTCACGGCCCTCATACCCCTCACGCACTCATGGCCCTCACACCCTTCACGCCCCTCACTCACTCACGCTCTCACGGCTCTCACGCACTCACGGTCCTCACAACCCTCACAGCCCTCACTCACCCTCACACTCATGAATTTACCTGGTTCAGAAGCTCCCTCATCCTCTCCTCACCTCTGAAGATGAGGGTGAGCGAGGGTGAGTGAGGGCCCTCATGAGTGAGGTTTGCCGAGGTATGGCTGGGCTATTTAGTGAAGCTTTGTTTTTGCGGGCGCATATTAATTAAGAACAAGATACACAAAAAAAGGAGAGAAGACACGGAAAAATGCTTTCCCTCAGCGGGAGTTGTGGAACTCCCGCTGAGGGAATTACTCCTCCCCCCCCCCCCTTCTACCCCCTTTCCCCCTCAAGTCTTTTACCCGTCGTTTGAAGCTCCATCAAGAGGCTGCAATTTAAAACGGTATTCTTTGGAGACGCTACGGTGAAGCGCGAGCTAGACGCTGTGCTTCAAAACCTGTGTAAGATGTAGTTACCATAGCAGCCGTCGCCCCAAGAAACGGTGGCGCGTCGAACGACGGGATGCGGGTGAACACCTTGAGGAGAGAGAGAGAGAAAGAGAGGGTGAAGGAAGAGGGGTGGGGGAGTACTGCTCTTGGAAGCGGCGTCTATGGGCAGTTCCGTAGAACTGGGTTAATCTAATACGCATGCAATTTCGTATGCTCCTTGCGGCCACATGGTTTTGTTTTCCCTGACCCCAACTACTGACGGTACGCACTTGACTGCCTCGTCATCGCGCCTTCCCTGCGACTTCTCTGTGTTGCCTTTCAATTGGCGTGCTTCCCCTTGCGTTTTGATGCGCCCAAGATGCATTTTGCAACACTTGCTCGACGTATGTGGAGCGCAAGTTCGTCTGCTCCTTTTGCTGGGGTTGTGGTGACGTCAGAACGCCGATCTCTTATTGGCTATAATAGAAGGATAGTGGGTAGACCTCAAAGCAAGCTGTCTTGAGGTCTGCCCACTATCCTTCAGTCAGAGCCAATCAGAGCTACGCTTTTTGACGTCACTACAACCCCTGCAAAAGAAGCAGACGAACTTGCGCTGCGCATATTGTTGGTTGCCCGCAGTCGGATCGTCTTGTCTCTATATGGGGTGTTTGAAATATCCAGGCTCGATTTAAAATGGGCCGCGAAAATCGGCGCCTCAGTGTAGAAGTCAAAATTTTTCGTCGAAGGTGTTTTTCACAGTACGCTGTTATCATGCAAAATTTCAAAACGTAGCTCCCTTCTGTCAAAAAATAGGGCCGAAAAACTTGCCAAGGTCAGTAGTGGACGGTGGACGGCGACGCAGACGACCGAGTCGAGTGGCGGGGCGCGTTTGACGCACGGATTGATAGATGGCGTCGGGAGCAGCGTCGGAAGGTGTAGCCGGCTTGAGAAAGAAAGCAGACGACACGGAGAGGAAATCCGTCGGCAGCAAGAGCGCCGTTGGAACCATCGTATGGAATCGCGTTTTTTTTTTTTTTTTTTTTACTTTTGTTACTTTAAGTTTTGCTATTATTGTCCACTTTTATTTTCAACCAAAAGAACTTTACAAGAAGATTATGTTAATTCTAACCACTGTCGTCACGAGCAGTCTGGATTCAAGTTCCCGTGCCTCCACCTCCTTTCCTCATTTGCATGGGTGGCGGCGCGCGCGGCGCCGCTATTGGCCGAGATCGATCACGTGAGGAACAAAGAATCTAGCGCCGTGCAGGAAAGCCGGCGCTTCGGGGATGAACGCGCAACTCTGGCTCCCGTAGGGAGCCCATTCGCCCTTTTTGTTTTGCAACACACTCAGTGGCGCCATCTATTGGGTAAACCCGGCAAATTTTCGGTTCAACTATAATTTCTAATTTTTTACTCATAATTATTCTTACGATAAAAGTGAATTAAGTCTGACGGGGATATAAGGGACCATTTAAGGAAGATACCGTTTATATTTGATTTCGCAAATACTGAGAAACTCGCCGTCTTGTTCAGAACGGGAAGTGGTTGGCGACTATTTGCACACTGGCGCCACCACGTTTCAACTCACGCGAGAAGTGAATACAGTAACTGTAGTCTCGATAAAGAGGCCGCGTCATTTATCAACACGTGCGCCAAACGCGCCTCGCCACTCGACTCAGTCGGCTGCGTCGCCGTCCCTCGTTGACCTTGGCAAGTTTTTTTGGCCATATTTGTTTACAGATAAGAAGCTACACTTTGTAATTTTACAAGATAAAACCGAACTGTGAAAGACACCTTTGACTAAAAGTTTAGATTGCTACGTGCAGGCGCCGATTTTTACGCCCCGTTTTAGATCGAGCCTGGGTATTTCAGACACCCTATACTTACGTTTCCGTTCCCGATTTCGACGACTTCTACGCAGGGTGACGGACTCTGCGATCCCGACGTCTGTCCGTTCATCTTTTTCTTCTCACCCTTGAGCAGCGCTAGTTCGCGTAGCTGGGTCTGCCGGATTTCGTCATGGTAATCCTGCAAAAAATAAAAATAAAATAAAGAACGCTTTAGCAGGTTTATATGCCACTTGGTTGATGTTGATTCTCCCAAGTTGCTCACGAGATGGGAGCGAACGCTGCAATTACACACACACACACACACCACACACACACACACACACACACACACACACACATATATATATATATATATATATATATATATTAAAGAGCATAGGACAAGTTTTTTTTTTGCTTTTGTCGTAATTGTTTTACGAGAAGAAAAGATATTTCCCGTTGCACATCGCAATAGACGGGTACTGAGGTCAGAATTAGAACGAGTCACTTTAAACTGTGTTGTACCGCTACTCGTCAAAAGTAAGGAAATACAGTTATTCGTTGCTTGGCCTTAAAAATAAGTAAATGCGTTACACGTCGATGTCTATAAAAGTAATTAAATAGCTCACTCGTTACAGAAAAAAGTAACTAGGTAGAAGTAAGTCATTACTAGTAACGAGTTAGTATATGCCAAGGAATAACACACTCGGGAAGCCCGAATCAAACAAAACCAAACGTACAAAATTCGTTTCACACTATGGCATCGTTAAACGGATATTCGAAAGTGACGTGCTTTATGAAAATAGCCATGTGTTGCTCCGCTACTTTTTTTATTTTTTTATTTTTTGAAATCGGACGCGAAATTTTTTTGTCTGTCACTTTTTTTTTTGCTAAATTTTGAGTTGTTCTTTAGCCCACGCCTTCTTACGGCCTTAAGTGGCAAGTGTCGTGACAGAGGCTCCCCAAAGCTTTCAGATCGACTTTCCCGCTCACCTAAGCCATAAAGCTTTTAGAAAGAGCGTCGCGATCTCGTGACGAACGACCGTTAGGCGAGCCGTCTCTCCTGTGCCGCCCGACGATTGAAGACCCTTCAGTCACCCGAATGTTCCGTAACAGGGCGCTGATAAACGGCCTTAGGGTGAAGAATAAAAAAAAAGTAGATAATGCCCGCTCGCTCAAACCCGCACACACGTACACACGCACGCGCACGCAGACACACAGTTGCATGCTCACGCGCGCGCACACTCACTCGCACGCGGACACGCATACCGCACACGCACAAACGCACACACATACACACACAAGTGCTCAGGCAGAATTAAAAAAAAAAGGGGAGGGAAACAGACACGAATGCGCCCACACACCCACACTAATATGGCGCTTCAATAATCGATACTGGCTCTTGATTCGGCAGTCCCCGCACTGAGCGACGTGCTACTCCGAGCAACGACGCGCCAGCGGCTCGGGTTATTGATGATGCCTCTTTGTATTGCTAAAGTCGAAGTACTTTGCGCTCTATTTATAGTTATTTGGAGCTCCCGGTGGCTTGGCGCGCGAAGCATTGGGCAACCATGGGACGGTAGCGGCATGTCTGTTCGACAGAGTTCCCCTAATCTTCGCGCGGCTCGGTGACAGGTGGGGTTGTTGAGTGCAGCTCTCCGCTGAGTGTTTGTCCAAGAGCTGGGATTGATCGAGCTCGGCTGCCGCGCATTACAGCAACGCTCGACAGTCGATGGCCGAAGCATCGAGCCACAGAAGAAACAAAATGCTTAAACAGGGACAGTCAAGCGCTTTTTGTAGAAGCTTATTTTTGATGGATTATTGTTTGGTGGTCTTTAGTGAACGAAAACGATCAGCTCTAGATGGCGACATGTCCTAGCAAACTTCCAGCAATAGAAATACACGGGCACTATTTTCTCCCTCTCCCCCCCCCCCCCCCCCCCCCCATCTTCATGAAATTCGAGCAATGAAAATGGTTAATTGCGTGGAGGTTCCGAACATTTCTATTATCTCTCTTTGTAGCATTACATTTTTCACAAAACGTAAAACCTTTGTGTGTAGGAGACGTAACACAGCAACTGTTTTTTTAAAAACGGTGCTCCTGGTGCCTGAGCAGATTTTGAATAGGTAAATCGGCCGCCCAAAAATGTATAATTTCGGGTTTTCTTAGAATGCTTATGGACCGTAGATTGAGTTATCAGCATAAATAGACGATCTCAGAATCCGCTCTTAATTTTTAAGCCGTCGAGAAATTAAAGGCGAGAAGGAGACGAGAATATGCGGTGACGTCGGACCTCGGAACTTTTACATCCCCGCTCACTCTTGTTTCCTCCTCTCTCTTACTTTATTTCCGCTTAGCCTAATGCATATTGCTTCTCGTGGGCTGGCGGTTGGCGCCGTTAACTGACACAAGCGAAATGCTACAAACCGGCGATTAGGTGTTCCCAATGCCCCCGCCCTTCTTCCAGGCGGCCTAATTAGGCGGGATCCGTCGGATTAGGGCAGATGCGACTTCGATTTCTGGTACTTAATCCCCAGATTAGAGAGAGAGATTAGCGCTGTTTGGGGGGCAGGCGGGGGTGACGCCCTCTCGACTCACGTTTAATGACAACAACATTATGATCGGCTTTAGCAGACGCGGTTCGTCCTTCTTGTCGATATGCGAACGCCACCGAGCAGGGCTGCGCGTAGTCCGGAATGAAAAATGAACAAAAGATCCATTGGTGAATCCCTTGGAAACGCAACACACGTCCGACTTTAAGAAACGCTAATGGTGACCCCTTCACTTTTTTCTTTTGGCTTTCTCTTTTGCTCCCCCTATTTTTCTTGCTTCCTCATCTTGGCCTCGTTCCGGGGTCAGTGTTAGCGTTTCCCAAAGGAAAACGCGTGTGGCGTTTTTGAAGGGTCATGCTAACGTATCCCCAAGAAACCACCAATGGATCTTTTTGTAATTTTTTCACCCCTTTTCTGTACCCCTGTAAGAGTACGCGGACGCCTTTGGATATGGTCATTCACATCACTCATGGAAAGAACCACATCCATACCACCCGTGGGCGGAACCGCACCCATATCACTCGTGGAGTTAACAGCATACATCGTTTTAGCTACACACACACATCACAGCCCACGCACCGCTCCTACGGAAACCCAGAATGAAGAACAACCGTCGGCAACAAAGCGGCAACTGAGCACGCCCGCATACCGCGTAGCGGCGTCTTACCTGTTAGATAACAAAGCCTTAGTGCTGAATGAGATGGCGTCATCAGAGAAGGCCAACGCTGGGCACAGATTGGACACGACGATTGCGTCAACGTTCGGCTCAGAGTTGACTCGAAGCCAAGTGCTGACGCAGCGCTCGTTTCCAATCTGTGTCCAGTGTTGGCCTTCTCGGATACCGCTGTTTCATTCAGCACTACGGCTTTGTTATCTAGAAGGTTTTGCGCAGCGCTTCTTCCTCTGTGGATCCGCGCCAACTGTCCGCGTGACTTTGCCGAAAACAAAAGGGCTCGTTTTAACGAAAACCCGGTGGTGTCTGTCAGTTTGTCAGCGCCGGGGAGAGAGGGAGAGGTTGACGCGGGCACACGTCAGCGCTTCGGACCAATGGGAGCGTCGTACGCGACAACTGACAAACGGAAGACATCGCCGGGTATTCGTCAAAACGAGCGTTCTAATGCTAGTAAATTAAAAAGTAATCGAATTATTGATAATTGGTTACGATATCACTATACGGCTTCATGAACGCGTTTTCGACTACTGTTTTTGGCGTCCTGTATACCGTTCACGCATCGAATGGGGCCCCGAAGAGGCAAAAAATGACGTCACAGAAGTCGGTGTTTCATGTTGTAGTTATGCCCCGATCCTGGCGGCTGGTCGTAGAACTCCCTGGCAAAAGATACGAGCGAACGCGAGCGTCCCTGTCGAGGCAGCGTCTCAACTCCGGGCTGCTGAAGATTCTTCCGTAAACACTTAGGCTAGAGACGGGCGAGCGATAGAACAGGTGTCTACCGTATCCAACTCCGCTGCCGCTCCACCGCCATGAATCAAAGCAGGCAACAGCGTGACACTGCTACGACGTATGACGTCTTCAGCACGAAATAGATGGACCATATCTGAAGACGTGGTAAAAACACCAGTCGGAGATGCGTGCCACCTCCAGGCAACATGGATGTTATCAACTAAATAATTTCCAAGCTACAACGACGTTGCGGTAACTACAACTGTAACTTTGTAACAAAGTTTAATCTAGTTGGGTTCAACTTGCGTATGGAAACTCAGGGGAGACTATACTTTTAGTCACCTCAAGGACCGTAGTAAAAAAATAAGTCCGGCTTCCCGCGGAACGTTACTCATTTCACCTTTTATGCCTTGAATTCACATCTTAGATTAGCTTTATACCATTTTCTCAAGACGTACACGTTTCAAAGGCCAAGGGCGACGGTTCTTCCGTCGACGACCAAATCTCGTGAGATCTACTTCGCGCAGCGCAATGAAAAATGCGTGCGGCTTCCTCTTCTCTTGATACAGATCCCCGTCGATTTCTTAACGCAAACGCCACATGCTCTCACCACCCATGCGCCGCTGCGAGCATCGTGGTAAATGAAAACAGAAATGTGCCATAATCGTTTTCTATATCGAAAAATAAACTTTTAAAGTCGCTGACATTTTAAGAAACGCGGGATGTGGCGGGCATATTAAAATCGCTTCGAACGCGGAACACTCAGTGAGATCGGTCTTTTTTCAAGCAGTACCAGTGAGAAGGCAAGTCCTGCTTCGGACGTCATCGTTAGTGGAAATAGGGAAAATAGGGATAGGGACCAAAACAGCCGGTTTTTTAACCGGGCCCTATTCAAGCCCGCTAATTAAAGCGAACATTTCAAGGACGTCGTTGATCAATTCAGGAACCCCCAGTAACAACAGGCAAGAACATAGAGAAGGCTGTGTGTGACGTGACTGTTTCGAGCATAGTAATTAAGTTGTCGCGAGCGGTGCGGAAACTGGCTTGAAGGGGGTCATTAGATTAAACATTTTTTTAATTTTTAATATTAGGAAGAGAGCGACATCTGAGTGAATATGTTTAAAACTGGTTCGCGCGCATCCGAACCTTTGGGTTCTTCTTCGCGCCAGGTTTTTGACTCGTGCAAGGACCGAAACGCTGGCTGTCAGAATTCTTAAGGGGAAGTAATTAACTTTCTCTCGCGT